AAGGAAATACACGATCGTTTTATACCATTTCAACAAATTTCTTCTGGTAATTTTATATTACCAGTTATTTCAAGGAAAGCAATTATACTCTTAACTTTACATAAAGACATTATAGTAGCCTATCAATATAATGGCTGGAGATTCATAGAATTAAATGCAAAATTATCTGGAATCAGTCAATTTCGTCGAGTAATACTATATAATGAAGAATTATTACTAATGAGAAGCAAAGATAATAAATGGACGTTGAAACAACCATTATGGATTAAAAAGAAATCTAATAAGAATTTACAAGAAGAAATAAGAGTATGGAACATTAATGCCAAGAATAGAATTCAGAGAGCAATGAAAGAAATTCCAATGCCAAAGGATCCTATCACAATTTTAAGTGGTCATATCGATCAGCTTTATGTTCATAATGTAAGATATTGCATCTTTAACAAACTAAATTAAGCCAAACCAATTTAATATTTTTATTACCTTTGCAGATAAACAGACACAACTTACAACAATTAAAAGATTTATATAAGCAATATAAGAAACTGACCTTTAGATTTCAAGCACAAAAGGTTGATATTAGTAACAAGTGGCATCCCAAAATTAAAACTATTTCTTCACTACATGCAAAAACAATTCAAGTGAATTGTAAAACAAAGTGTAAAATCAATCGATTGAATGTTAAGGAGAATATGAATTTCTTGACCAAGTTAGTAATGTCAATAAAGACAAATCAAGAATTAAATTTTGATGAATTAAGTATAGAAGAACTAAGCAACTGGAAATGTCCTCTCTTAAGTCTTCCAATAGAAGACATTATAGTTTCTGAATTAATTAATGGAATAACTTTAGGTTATTTACAGGAAAATGCTTTGAAAGTAACTGGTGATCAACTAGTTTCTGGTAATACATTCTGACTTTCATTTCTTAATTAACTGTTTAACTATAGAAAATAATTTATGAAATCTTTATTTCAGGAAAGCATATTTTTACTAACATGAAGGCAACAAATGCTTTTATGCCATTAAATATTGCCACATTCTTAACAAAGCAAGATGTAACAATAAAAGAGATGAAAGTTAAAGAATTGAATTTAACAACAGGAGGGATTTTATTGCCATTAAATGGCTCATTCTCAACAGTTACTGGTTCAATCAAAACACCTAAACTAAAAATAAAAAATATTGATGATTTAAGGGGAAAAATAGAAGGAAAATGGAAAAGATTGTCACCTACAATATTCGTTAGTGAGCCCATGATTTTATATAACAATTTCAATTTAGAAAATGTCAAGATTGATAATTTAACATCCACAGACTTAATTGCTAGTAAGACAGGGTCAATCAAAAGTACCTTGTCAAATGCAATATCTTTACACGATAATATATCAGTGTCCTTAATCCTTTCAAGTGAAAAAATGGCAAGTATAATATTTCCTACATATTTAATTTTGTAAATATATTGTGATATAGTAAGTAACAGAAGTAATTGAGTTTTATTCTAGAAATGGAGCAATATCACTGTGTATGGCTTTAAAAAATGGATTACTGTGAATTTCCAAAATATTAGTATTATATCAGGAAATAAACATTTTCACCAAAATGTAGAGATAACAAAGTTCTCTTACAATAAATTAAAATCAGAGTAAGTTTACTTAATATTTGCATTAGTAAAAGAATTAATACAAAACAAATATATTTAAGCAATATTTTCTTTATTTAAAGGAAGCAAGATTTATTTTTAGAGGATTCAACATTATGTGCCACCTCTGTTATTGCATCTGAAATTAAAACTACAACGTTAATAGCGGATATCATTGCTGTAAAAAAATTAAATAGTTCACAAATTGTCGGGAACTTGGGTGAAGATTATTTCATTGATAATTTCGCAGTAGTTTTCAAATCTATTTTGTCTGAGAAACTGTATTATCATAATCTCACCGCAAAAAATATATTTACAACGCAACTGAATAATTTGAATTTAACAGGTAAAATAAGATAATTTTTTAGATATTATATTTCTATTTGATACTTCTTATTTTATTTGATACAATTTGTAAATTTATCAATTCTTTTTTAATTATACAGAATTGAAGAGGCTTGTGAATTCATGGATTGAACCTAATATTCTCAATACCTCTATAGAAGCAACAAACTTGAAAACAAATACTCTCAGATTACCTGTTCGATTTTACATAGAATTAGATAACAAGATAATTAAAAATCTAATATTAGAACAACATGTTTATGTAGATTACATTAATAATATTAATATGACTGATTTCTTGGATAATGCTATAAGGCTCACCGATATGAAATCTTTGCAAAATATAATATTTCGTAAGTTATAATTAATAAAAATTAATAAAAATTAATTAACGATATAACGTTTTTTATTCAATTTATTAATAGTACTTTGTTTTAGGTAGCGATTTTAGTACGAATCATATACATGCTTCTCATCTTCCATTTCATTTGATAGACACAGAGAAAGATCTTAATTTGCATAAAAAGAGAATTTCTGGTAATATAGAAGCAAATGCAATAAATTTACCATATTCTTTTAAAATTGCTGAAGATGAGACTCCAGTTAATATCTTTATTAACGGATCTGCACGATTTCCACTTGAACCAGCAATAACAAATGTAAATAATATTAGACTAGAAAAACTGTTTACAGAAATTTGGTTGACAACAAATGTTACAACACTTTATGGAAAGAATTTGCATTTTGAAAATATAGTGATAAATGGAAATGTTATTTTAGATGTGAGCAATGAATTATCATATAAATATTTTGTTATAACATTATAGGACAAATCATTATTAAAATAATAATCACTTTTAGAATGAAATAAGTACATTAAATATTGAAATGTGGAAAAACATTTCAAAACGTGTTTTAAGCAAAACCAAGTTACAGGAAATATCATACCCTGTGTCTTTGAATAATATTGAAGTTCCTTTTATTGTGGGTTCAAATGTTTCAAGACTAAAATCTTCACTATCAGATCTCAATGATATATTTGGGAATTCTTTGCTAAAGGATAAAGACCAACAAGTGAAGGCAAAATGGACATTCCATACATTAAAGGTCTTAGGTAATAATAATAAAATTGTGAGATAAAATAAAGGATTCTTGTAAAATATTTTTGAAACAAATTTTACAATATATGAAAAATTTAGGAAACTTGAGTGCAAAACATACGATTAACAAACTGGATCTTAAGAAAGATGTTATGAGGTACGATTCGAGAGAAAATATTGTAACTGGAAAGAAAACAGTCATACGTTTAGCTGCAGAGAATTTGAATGGTTACAACTTTGATAAATGGGCTGCTAATGCTTTGACGAAGTTGAAGAAACATGCAATCATAAAGGGACAAAAAACATTTATCACTGCTACGTTTGGCGATATAGAGTAATTAATAAAATTAATCTATTTACCATTAAACTGGTTTAACTAAAATTAGTATTCAACTGTTATTATTCATTATTATTAATTAGGGTGTCTGGAACTGTAATGGGAAATACTATAGAAGAAGTATTAACAAAATCTACGAACCAAAGAATTTATGGTCAGAAAAAGTTTCAAGGTTCTATTAATGCATCTGAGCTCATTGTTAGTGGTTTAATAAATGATGTGAATTTGACTGAGCTAGTAGATCATCAATTAAAGAAGAATAATCATCTTCAAACAATAAAAACAGAAATTGAATTTCAAAACAGCTTACATATTCATGGAGATCTTATAGTTAAAGATACTTATGGAGGAGCGGAGTTGAAGAACTTTTACACAAGTTATTTGAGTGTTTTACCCATTGCTGAAAAAATGAAGATATTTTTAGAGGCAGCCGAAACCATTAATAAAGCTTTACAAAGTATTTCTTTTACTTTTTCTTTTTAACTTTTAAGAGGGCACACCACAATATTTTATGCATATCAAACTTAAAAATATATAAAAAGAATTTTTTCAATTTTTCGAAACAAAGTGGTATACCCTCCTTAAACAACAGGTAACTTTAATTATTATTATTAATACTTAAATATTTTATCATTATAGATCGAGCTGTTTATATAAATAAATTGGAAGTTGTAGAAGACACCATTGTTGCTTCTAATAAATCTGAAATTATTCAGCCAGTACAATGTAAATCTACAAACTCTTCCTCGCATTGTTTTAGTAAATCTGCACTGAACGGTACTGTATTAACATATCAAACAAACGGCAGTGACTTTCATGTCAAAAAATTAATTGTCATGGACGAAAAAGAACTTATTGTATTTGTAAACTTTGATTCTGTATCCATATCTTTATTTAGTAATATAAAGAACGAACTTGTTCATTCAAAAGGTTTGTCCAAGTTCATTTGATGTTTTTATTTTATTGAAATGCTTTAATAGTTAATAAGTAGACTACGAATGTTTATGTAAATACTTTCATAATTTGTAGAACTACACATACCAAGAATAATGGAAGCATTTGCGGAGCCAAGGATAGATACCTTGTGGATCATTCTACGACTGACCACACAGACTTTAGTCTTACGTTATCAGCCATGGGAAGATCTGCAAGAATATGTTTTGCCAGTCACGGACGTGTTTGAAATAAGTACATCTCCAAATAATCAGCTTTTGTTATTACTATCAGATGGTGTATGGGATCTTGAAGGACTAGCAAGTCCTAGAAATATTATTGAGATTCCCCTCAAAGAAAAAGTAGAAACGTTCGTTGATGAACATAATTTCTATGTGCAATGTACTTCAAAAAATAATACAACTTTAATGAAAGCACGATACATAGGAAATTGAAGATTGTTAAATTAATTTTCTTGCATTATTTCTGATATGTAACTGAGAAATTTAAACAAAAGTATATTAAATATTATTTTCCTAATATTTGAGTGTCTCAATGTACAATGAATGATATGTGATTATTGTTATTCAGTATGAAGGAAACTAATAAAATAGAACCTTTAAGAGGTGTATAAAACTGTTCAAGATGTATGAAGGTGTAGAAAAATTCTCCTGACAGCAACTTGATGGTTTATGGTCATGGAGATTCATATAAAGCTCAACATACGTATACTGCTGAACGCTAAGAGCGTTTAAATATGGGTCCAGCAGCTACAGAAGACATTGTTACCTAAGCAGCAGAAATTATTATATATATTTCTTCAAAAGAAAATAAAAAGAATAAAATAAAATACAAACTCTGGCAGCTTTCTTAATCACGGTGACCTCTTCAGGTTTCGCATTAGCCGTGTTGTTCGTTTTCTTCTTTTCCTCCACTTTGAACAATTTCTAAAAAACAAATATTTTAATAAAAAAAAATTAAATTGCATATACATCCGCAGTGTAGTGATAAAAAAATAATCCTTCAGTCTCACAGGATCTTTCGCAGAGAATTTCTCTTCGATTTTCTTCCTTTCCTGTATTGCGTTGTTAAGAGCAGTCTGTTCAGCTGGTGTGAGTACCAGAAGTCTAGGATCCATTGCAATCCATTCACTGTGCAATGTCTGATCCAGTTTCCAGCGTTTCGAGACATCAGGTTCCAAAAGACGAGTCACTAGCTTCTTTACTTGTTCGCTTAAGGTTTCTGCGATTTTACTTCGGAACTTCCATTTGCGATTTGTTTGTTGTTCGTACAGACGTTTGATATCAGTGTCGTCAAAGGGCATCGATTTGTTTAAAAGAATGTAGAGGATGACACCAAGGGACCAGAGATCCGCAATCTTTGGATTGTACGGGGAAGCACGAAGGATCTCTGGGGCAGCGTACGATAGAGAACCGCAATAAGTATCGCTCAGAACGCGTTTACCTCGATTATCTATCACGTAGCGAGCAAATCCGAAATCCGCAAGCTTGACATTGAAATTTGACGTTAGTAGAACATTCTCGCATTTTATGTCTCTGTGGGCAATCTCCATTTCGTGTAAATATTGAAGACCTGAAGCAAAGATAGAGTTTTTTAATATAGAATAGTCATGATTTTTAATAATTCTCCTGATCTTATTTATTTCATCATGTACTGTATTTAAAGCAGGGACCAAAATAGTAATTGTTTTTAAAAGTTCTAATTCTTAAAAATCTTCCAAAAAATACATTTATTAAAAAATCAAACTTTAAATGTTCTGGCCCTATAAATAGTTATTATAGATGATTAAGACTCTCCTGATCAATAGTTACCAATAACAAAAAGAGAATGTTAATTTTAAAAAATATTAAATTTACTATTTATTTGTGAGAGAAATCATTTAAACTAAAATATGAATTCTTATACTATAACTTCTTAAATTTAAGTCATAACAGATATGGTCTCTGATTTAAAGAGATATCGGTGTTACCAAGAGCAAGTTGTCGAAACCATACACGCGCCTGTCCCTCTGCAACCGCACCATTCTTCAGTATAAACTCCAGGAGATCGCCATTCTCAGCGTAACGCATAAATATGAAATATTTTGTACGTCTTTGGAATATACTATGTACATGCACCACGTGAGGATGATTCAATTTCACCAGAATGTCGAGCTCCCGGGGAAGAAACTTTCGGACGAAATCTTTCGGCGCTAGCCCGGTGTCTATCACTTTGCAAGCCAAAGTACTATTCCTTTCTGGATCTGATTCTGGTTTATACTCCGCCAGATACACCTACGATTAAACAAATAAAAATTTTATGTTAATCAAAGAAAGATTGTAAAAAATGTGCATATATTTGATAAGTCCAAGTAAAGAAAACGATGTTACCGACCGAGGGGAGGAATAAATTTGAATTATACCCCTCTTTTGTAAATCGTTTACCGTATCGTTTTATAATCTTAATAATTTGCGAGATGCTTAATTAACCTTCGCGTAAGCACCTTCTCCCAGCTTTTTTAGAAATTTATAACCGCGTGCTAATAAAACTGCCTCCTCGGATGACGTCTGATTCAAACTCGTCATGAGATTTCGCGATCCACAAGTGACATCCTACTGATCCTGTTATAATAATTCATAACTGATTAGTAGACTGCAGATTTATATGCAAATTCATAATTTTATAAATGTAATTAAAAAAACAGAACTATTATAATATTGTGTAAAAACTCTTATACATTTTATAGTAATTTAAGATTGTTCTTCCGCTTACTTTTATTTAACAATCAAGATTGCAGTGGAATAGAGTTCTAGCTATGAAAATATCAGTCATTTAACCATTTTGCCTAATTAAATATCATGCTCGATGTAAAACACGATGACAGAATTCATGGCCTACTTTATATGTATTTATATTACTTCAAACATTAAGAAAATGAATTTTTAAAAAATTAAAGGATACCAAAGAGATAAAAAGTTAATTAAAAAATTAGTTAAATGAAAACATTAAGAGTTCGTGTTTTATTGAAATGTATATTTAAATATCGGATGTAGCATCTAATCGAGATATATCGACTTATTCGACTTCGTGAATGTGAGCGATGTGATGGACTTTCTCCTGTAACTCAGGAGAGAGGAGGAACGTAAGTATGCTACGAATAATTTTTTCATTATCATTATTCGATTCTCTATAAAACACGTTTTTGTTACTTTTATAAATGTAAAAAATTCTATAATTTTAATAAATATTGTAAAAATTAAATTTTGTATTTAAAATATCAATCTACTAGTCATCAGAGACACGCGTTTTGGGGTCAGTGCGGTACTGCCCCCTAACGAATAAAATATTTCTACCGTTCAAAAACATAATCCAAACCTAACCTAACTATTTTATTAAATACATTATTTAATTATTTAGTTTTTCACTTAATAATCTATAAATCTTATTTCTTTTGTCAATGTCAAACAGAATGGCGGACACTGCTCCAGCCGCGCGTGGAGGTTTTCGTGGAGGGTTTGGTTCTCGTGGAGGAGGTGACCGTGGAGGTCCAAGAGGTAGAGGCCGTGGAGGCAGAGGTCGAGGTCGTGGTCGTGGACGTGGTAAAGAAGATAGCAAAGAATGGATCCCAGTAACTAAACTTGGACGCCTTGTTAGAGATGGAAGAATAGAATCCTTAGAACACATCTATCTCTTTTCCTTGCCTATTAAAGAATATGAGATCATTGACAAATTCCTTGGAGTTGAATTGAAAGATGAAGTACTGAAAATCATGCCAGTACAAAAACAAACCAGAGCTGGACAGCGTACTCGTTTCAAGGTAACTTTATATAGGCATAACTTTTCAAATGTTGATCTAGTATGATTATTAATTCACTAGAGATGATATTAGTAATATCCCATTTTATAGGCTTTCGTAGCTATTGGGGATTATAAAGGCCACATTGGTCTAGGTGTAAAATGCTCTAAGGAAGTGGCCACTGCCATTCGTGGAGCTATCATACTGGCTAAGCTTTCAGTTGTGCCAGTACGTCGTGGTTATTGGGGAAACAAGATTGGTGATCCTCACACTGTACCCTGTAAAGTTACTGGCAAGTGTGGATCGGTTCAGGTGCGTCTAATTCCAGCACCGAGGGGTACAGGTATCGTGTCAGCGCCTGTGCCTAAGAAATTATTACAGATGGCTGGTATAGAGGACTGCTATACCTCGGCCAGAGGATCTACTTGTACTCTTGGTAATTTTGCAAAAGCTACTTATGCAGCTATTGCCAAAACCTATGCCTACTTAACACCAGATCTCTGGCACGATCAGGCGCTAAGGAAAGCTCCTTATCAAGAGTTCGCAGACTATTTGTCAAAAAGCCACAGAGTTGTGGGCAGACAGAGGCCTGCTGAGGTTGCCTAAGAAATAAACTTCCATATAAATTACCTAATTCTGGTCATTTTCCCTTTCCTTTCCTATTTTTATTATATACCATATTTTGTAGGTAGACTGGTAGATGTTTATGCACTTATGGTATATAAAGATACAAAAATTTACAGAACACACATGTAATATAAAAAAGTATTGTAAAATATTATCTAGTTAAATATTAATATTCATAAATAATAATAATTATAAAGTAAAAATCAAATAAATTATATATTTCTGTAAAAAATACTACTCTATGTACTATCTACAAACATATCTCTAGAAGTCTTAAACTGTTCATAAGCATTGTTGAAAGTTTCTATAGTGTGATCACAAATCTTTTCAAAATCTTGTAATCCTTTTCTCAGTATGTCTATAGCTTTTCCGTTTTTCGCTTGGATCCTCAAGTATATGTTTCCTTCTGCTGGATGATTGACGAAACAAGCACAAAACTCCACATCAGGACTGTAATAAAGATGATTAATAATTAATGGTCTATTTATAGTTGAACTTACGTTCTAATTAATGCGGCGTACTTTTGCGAGATTACTGCTACTAAGGAATTTCCCAAAGTATAACCTTCACCCATGAATACAAAAGTTTTACATTTCTCGGATGATTGTTCGCTAACCACCTGTATATAAAATAAAGTATCGATAATAGGTTATGTTTTATATTTTACATTGCAAAACATATAATCTATATAATTTAATACTAATAAATATCGTACCTCTGCTAATCGACCCATTTTATCAACTATTAAACTAATTATTGTAAAATATATTATATTATTATAATATTAAATTCACAGTATCATCAACATCGTCACAAACTCGTTGAACATACAGACGTTATTATACTACATAGCCTAACCTAACATAATGTTAGATACATAACTTGACATAACCTATTTACTTTATGTTCATATTCACTTAGTGTATTGCAAGATAGATTTAATGATCTTAATAAGAAATATTAATTATAACTTTCATTAATTGCAAAGAACAATATAGTTCGATGATTTAGTTAAATAAGGGAAACATTTTTCATTACTTAATTCCAAAGTTGTTAATAATTCTGCATTATTAATATAATAAACAACGCGAAAATAAACAAAAGGAGGGCAAAAAAATGTTTATAAAACAGCTAATTTTCAATGGACCATTGAAGTTAAGATTTCAAAATATTGGTCCAAGATATTTCTTTTCAAAGAAAAATAAAATTATTGAATCCGCTGAGGAGGAACCTATCCTTATAGAAGAGAAAGATTATGCTGAGTTAGAAAGAAAGAGAAATAAATCAAGACTTACAGAAGCACATAGGAATATATTGTTAGGGAAAAAGCCTTACAATACACCACAAGATTGGTTTCATGAGACAGTCAAATACAAGAAACGAATATTAGGAAGGTATGGAATGGAAGCTTTAGGAGAACCTGCAGGATTGGCTTGGCCTACTCCTGAAGAAGTAGAAGACATGAAAGAATATGAAAGTCTTGCACATCCATTAAATATTCAAGAAAGATTACAACAGATTAAAGAAAAAAAGAAAATGGAAGAAGAAGCATTGTTAGCTAAGTATGTAAAAATAGTAACATATATATATATATATACTATAATATAACAATAAATGTCTAAATATATATCTTTCTATAGGCAAGCGGAAATAGAAAAGAAAATGGCCACTATGAAGCAATTAATAGCTCAGGTACAAGAAAAAATAGCTCAAAAGCAGAAGGTAGAATTGGAAGCTAAAGAGCGAAGGGAACGTAAGATTGAAGAGATTAGACGTCAATTGATAGCTCAAGGAACTATGTCCACAACAAAACTAACAGAGGCAGTGACTATGGCAGAAAAAGATGAGAAAAAGTTAAAGAAGGAACTGAAGAAAGCAAAGGCATTGGAGAGAGAAAAGAAAATAGCAGAACGATTGCTTAGAGAATCTGAAAGTAATAAAGCAGAGGAAGATGAAGATGAAACAGATTCTCAACAAAAATAATTAAATACCTACGAAACAGACAGTTTGATGAAAACGTGTTGTATTGTAAAATAATTTCTACATAGTAAAATGAACACTTTACAAACATTCACTGTTAGTTAAATTCCTACTTCTCCGTATATAAAATTTTCAAAGTAATCAGAGTTTAAAAGAATAATAATATTTACAGCTCGTAGTAAATATTGTATTTTCTTTTACTAATACAAAAAACGGTACATATTATTTTGTAAGGGCTAAAAGAAAACTATACTAATATGTAGTATTAAATGACTCGATAAGACACATATCCAGGCACAATTGGAGCAATAATATGCTGCATTTCATTCAACTTTGCTCACTCATAGGTTTTGAGAATCTTCAAAGGAATGTAATAATCATTTTTGCTCTGATTATCATATGAGACTTGCTGTAGCACTTTCGAAAAAAATCAGCTTTCAACCATTGATTCTTGTAATTCCTTTTCATCGATACCACTATGAATATCTTCTCCGTTTTCCACTTGATCGCAGTCCTGATTATTTTGTACGTGCAGCTCGTCAATTACAATTAATCGCAACTTGTTTTTCCCCATATGTCAGGCAGATTGAATTTGCGATGGAGACGACAATTCATAGAACTGGAAACTTAACTCCTCTCCAAAAAGATTTTCAGGTGTAATGATTTCTGGTTCAACCATGTTCAGGCCCAAAGTAGTAGGATTTAGGTCTGTGACTAGATAACCTTCACTGATAAGTCCACATTCTTCTGCAACCACTTCCTTTGATACTGGGTTAAGGAAATCTACAAAGATATATTTGCCAACTTAATCAATAACATTCAAAGTTGAACTCTTATTCATAAAAGCTTCACTGTTTAATTAATTCGATTACCACTCTCTTTCACAGGATAATGAAGCTCCTGTGTTTGTTGATTGGATTGGGTTGATTCATGTTCATTGTTGGAGACTATCATAGGTACAAGATATTGTACCTCTACTTCCTTCTTGATACCACTAAGGATTTCTTCAGCACAGTGTTCTAGCGTCACAGAATTCACTACATTATCAGCCTCTTCTTCTGAAGACTGTTGTGTAATGCTGGCAGTTGCCGCTTCTACTTCATCTATTGAATTCATTTCACTGAAAATGTAAGTGGTTAAAGTAAATAAACATTCCATCATAAATTTTTTATCTAAACAGTGATTAATTACCTGATGTTCTTTCTCAGATTTTCAACTTCAAGAGTGTTCTTGCTCATTTGCTTTATGGAAGGATTAACGTTAAAATTGTTAATGGATTGTCTAGGTCTAGGATCTCCTGAGCGATTCGCAATGGCCCATAAGTGACCAGCTCCATGCGGTGCCTTTGATCCCTTCCTGAAGTGAGGATTTATGGAGAGATTGTGCCGCACAGAATTTTTCCAACGGTCATCGTTGCTTTTGTAATAGGGAAAGTGTTCTCTAGATATAATAAGAAAAATAATTTATTAATTTTCCAAATATAGTAAACAAAAATAAGTAAGTTAGGCGGGAGTTGATAAATTTTATAAAAATTGTTTTACAATATAGAATTTACTATATAGAAAAATTCTAATTTTGTCACTTATTCAATGAGCAATAAATAATCATGTGAATGTCTACATTTGCATAATGACAGACGTTTAAATAGTTCCTGTCACTTGTCGGTTCAACGTCGACAAGCGTGCTCACCCCACGAGAACAATTTTCTTCACCTGCTTGCGGCGACGTCACGGAGTGTTACACACTCCCCTAATTAATTCTCTGTCTTTAGGAAAAGACGAAAGACCCGCTGAAACGCCCCAAGCATAAGGCTTTAAATAGTAACTTTATCTGATCCAATAACTACATACATGTATCTAATGATTATGCAAACAAAAAAAGAACAATGCGCCTTTACATTATAGATTTTTATTGATTTTCATTATGGTTGGTTTCAAATAATATGAAATATCACTTAATTTGAAAATTTGTTTGGTATATGTGACCTAATTACCAAAAATAAGTTAAAAATATCAAAAGCTATCCAAAGTATGAGTGCAAAATACCCAGAGTAACAACTGATTTCTTCCAGAAAGAATAAATTTGTTAATTGTTCTATACAGTAAAGAGAATTTTATATATCAGTTATATTTTATTAAACCATTTTGATCCTCTTCATTAAATAACCAATACCATTAATACATACATTAAATATATAAAAAAGGAGAAATCAAAAGGGAGAAAATAAAATAAAAGATCAAATGTATCTATAAAAATGTCATTTTGTAGATTTGTAAGTATCGAATTCATCTCCCTGGAAGTGATTCATCCTAAGTGTACTATGTAATACATTCAGTATATATGGTTCTCCTTCGAACCGTAGGAAATGTAGGAAACGAGTTTCTACGAATTTACGAGAACGTGGTCCGCGTCGATGCGGGGTAGCTGGTCGGGGAGGGTCGCGTTCTTAGATGGTACCCCTTGGCACCGCTGCCCTCGCTACGCAGTGGTACCAGCTGGTACCGGCTCTTTTGCTCGTTTCAACCCTCCCTCTACTCTCCACCAACACGAATGTGCACAATTTACTGGTTCTGTGCTTTCACCTGTTCGATCGAAGGTTTGTCAAATATAGATAATATAGATAATCGAGCCCCTGAACTCATTTTCAATCCTCCTCTTACAATATTTATCTAGTACATAATTGTATTTCATTCTTATAGTTCTAACGTCTGTGAATTTAGTTAAAATTTTATGTATTCTTTTCCGTATCCTCCATTCTCGTAATTTAACTTAATTTCAATAGAACGTTGTGGATTTTGTGTTCATAGAGAATTTGGGTCAAGGCTTATCACAGATAATTTTCAACAAATAATTCTGATAATAAAGATTAGTGTCTTGACTATGAATGTTTCTAGGAAATTTAAATGTAGAATGATTTATGAAATGTACTTGACATGGGAAAATATGCAAGATATCCAAAGAAAATATTCATTAAGAAAATTCTACTTATGTTCCATTCATGCTTTCAAAAATATGAATTTGCATAAATACCTAAATTATTAATTACCATATTATTACTAATTATTATTTTATAAATTCAGTACCTATACAAAGTTCTAGTGGTTTAAATACAAAGTCTACTGAAAATTGTTTTATTAAAATGAATATATATATATATTCTAAAATGAATATATAATAATTCCTTTTTTCTACTTTCTTTTTCATTGAATTGACGAGTGTGGCTTCCGAGGGGTTCAAATACTTTTGGAAAGTACTCACGAGATCCACTGATAAATAGCTGACACCGTGAGCTCTCCCCTTTCCCGAAGAGCGTGTTCGATAAGCTCTGTGTACGTGAAAGGCGGCTTTTTTGGGCCGTTACATCGGGAAGACGCAAAATTTCTATTATCCAGGCTAGAGTAACTATGATTCGACTCCTGATGTGACGATCCGTTTTCGTTGTAACTCCTTTTCACGTCGTTCACGTAAGTAGACCCATAAGAACGTCCATTTACCCTTGTCTTATTCCCTGCGTAAAAAATATGAAACATATGATTTCTTCGAACTATATTGATGAATAATTTTGTAAATACATAGGAACAACGAGCATGACGCGATTTCCTGTGTAAAAGTGAGAAGTGTAGAGTAAAAGTTTCTCATTTTTTAGCTTAGTTTTGAAGGTAATGGACTTTGAAAACTTATCAAGTAATTAACTATTAAACATAAAGGTTTGACAATATCTTGAATAGCTGCACACCACTGTGAACGTCTTTGGGCGAAGGTACAGTGGACTTTTCGTCAGCAGCCTCGATAAACGGATCCAACTTGAAATCCAGCAACCAGGAAAGGTTTCCAGTCTCCTGATCATCAAATTGTTGCTGCTGATGACTACTAGAAGACGCATCGGTCTTGCCCTGTTGCATGTTAGGCGATGGAACGGTAACAACTGGCTCCCAATAGTCAGAGCCAATAGGATAGCTCGTTTCCTCGATTTGAATCTCTTGGATCACTTGTTCTTGCCTGTGTTCGGACGACGAGGAGGATGTGGTAGGTGAAGCCGCGATATCGACAATGTTTTGCTGGGATTCTAGCTCCGAGACGGTTGTCCAGGTGCAATTAGTGCCGTCCACGAGAAGTACTTCCAATCGAGCGACTGGACACTCGTCGACGGCTTCCTGGGCCGATAACGGAGAGAATAGAGCCGCGGTGTCTCCTATTACTTGGTTGGAGGCGACTACTTCCATTGGAGCCTCGATTTCTTGGTACTGATACCGTTTGTGACCGTTCTGGACCTCCTCGCAGAAGCTCTCGATATCCAGATCCTCGAAGATGCGTTTCTTCCCGACACGGGACTGGTTGTCCGATAACTCGTGCTCCGGGACACCGCCCGTGCCAGAGGACGGCCCAATCATGCTGTCGAAGGCAAGTTTTAGTTCATTTCTTATACTAATGCTTATGTGTACATGGTGTGCCAGGAAAGTAAATTGCGGATTTTTACGAACGTAACACTAAAGAAGCGAAATCTGAATAGAAATTTGTTTCATGTGTTAAATATTATAATAAATACTCTTCTTTCAATATTTTATATATCTTTGCATTATACATTATACACTATGTGCATTTTTGCGCCTGCAAATTTTTCACAAATTTATAAAAATCCGCAGTCTAGTAACAGGAATGTTTCTCGTCAAGTGGCAATATTATCAAAACCCAATTTCCATACTTTCCCATACTCTAGCTTTTGTATCAGTTACAGCTCACTCGTTTTGGCTAGTACGTGTGATTTTATTTATAACGATTTATCGAAATACGTGTATTAGATACGCATCACGAAAATGGAAGAACCGCGTATTAAGCAACGTCCCTACAATTCTGTGTCAAACTTGAAGAAAAATGATAATTTGATAAATTTCATTCATTCTTCTCTTTTTACAAATTCATTCAATGTACTCGCTGTATACGATATCGAATTGAATGAATTTGTTTCTTAAGGACGACTGAATTAAAAGATGAAGTTTAGGCGCAAACCATGAATTGGAGCTGTCTCGTGAAAACTCCATAGAATTCACGAAAATATAAAAGTAGCGTAGATAACCCATTGAGAATCATAGTTGCGCTAATACATTTCGTTTGTAATTTCTTTTAATTGATTTGCATTAGCAGATTTTATCGAATTTACATTGTATACTTTCGTAATATGGAATATTTTAATTTTGTTATTATTTCTTCTTTTATCTAAATTTTATACTTTCATAAAATAAAAAAAAAAAATTAAAGTATTTTATAACACTATGATGTATCATTTTTTTCAAGTGAAATTCTTATCGTACCTTCGATTTGTGTAATGAACTTCTATAATGTATCTACTATTTTAATATACGTTTTGTAACCTGATAAAACAATAACCTACTTTGTTTACGTTTTTCTAATAGCATTTACGCAACTTTTACGTATTACATGCATGTATTTTACTGCTTGGTCTTTAATGGGTTAAATAATGATACTCCAAATTGGCCACAATATCGAATCCACCTATACTTACCTTAATTCTCCCAATATCTCGATTTCGACGAGATTATTATCACCAATTATTCCGCGATCGTCGAAACGGAGCTATTAATCGTAAAATAACTTCTAACTTTCATCACGATGTCCTAACGTCAATATGAAAGTAATTTTCCAAGGATTTTGAACGTTTCATCGATGCACGAGCTCGCGTTTCTCTAAAAAAAAAAAGGAAAAAAAGAAAAGCTTGGGATTATCGGTGATGAAGAACTCGCGACTAATTAACGATAGCCACTGGTTCACACGGTTCAAATATGTCTCATTGCGAACTGCACTCCCGTTTTCAATCGACACTCATCCCTTTTTGTCCACTTTGTACGCGAAATCACCTTGCGATCGGACGTTTTTGGAATATCTACATGATCAACTTCGGATCGCGACTGTCTTCTCTTTCGTATTTCAATTGTTACGCGGCGTGATGCGCACGCATCCTCGAGACCAGATGCAGGAGGGGCCGTAGGCGCATGCGCAGTGCGACAACAGAGATTTGGCGCTTAAGTGCGTTCACGTAACAAGAACAAGAAATGTTATTACACATACTGTAAGAAATAAAAGATTAGAATAGTTTATATTTTAATACTTACAAACTTATAAAATAAACTTATAAAATAAAGGTATATACGATTTTTATTTTGAATAATCGTTATTTAAGGAATTGAAACTTTTCTTCTCATTATAATTCTTATATCGGTTACTATATATCACTACTAGCTTATTGCTTTGCTTGTTTCGATTCTTGTATCAATTTTACAATACATTAAAATAGTTCATTGTTTATTAGACTGCGGATATCTATTCATTTATGGGAAACTTCAGAAATGCACGTAATATGCAAAAATATATGAAATATTCAAAATGTAACATCTGTTATGATATTTAATAGATACAAAAAATTTCTGTTAAGCTTATGTATATCATAAATAGAGTTGGAGAGATATTTATGCAAACTATTATAATATTTTTAAGGATAAAATTTGAAAATTTTTATTTCTACATTCTCTCTTATTGTAAATTTCAAGAAATTGAAGTATTTATAACAATATGATTTGTAATTTCATATCTTTAATAATATAACTAAGAAAGTGGAACTTGTACATAAAAATTTATTTCGTTCACTAAATATTATAACAAGTGCTTCATTTTAAATATTTTATAATTTATATTTTTGTATGTTATGTTTTTGTACTATGTTCTGTTAGATTGTGAAAATATAAGTAATATAGTAGTTAAAGATATAAACAGTATAGATAGGAATAGAAAGAATGGGTTTAAAGAACAGATTTAAAAAATAGATTCAAGAAATGAAGAAATGCAAACCGGAAATCATACTAAATTGAAAGGTAAAGAATAAGAATAATAAATAAAAAAATAAATATTATGTTCTTTACATATATTTGCATTCTGTGCATTCTTGCATTTGTAGATTTTTGATAAACGCATAAGAATCTACAATCTACGATAAATTATGTTTTACTTGATCATAATACGCTAATAATTAAAATTCATTTGACCCCTACATATATGCAACCCAAGTTGCGTGTATGTAGGACCGCGTTGACGCTGCGGACGAGTTGATTTCGAGAAGAGATCGACGTCCGTTTTGCGTATTTATTTATTCGCTGTAGAAACACGGAGACTAGCAGCGTTCAAGGTCAAGGTGACATCACGCAAATAAAAGGATAGAAGGCGACAGAGTTGGATTTTTACCATCCACGGGGCTGTACTCATAATCGGTACATTTTTGGGTAGAGTGTGAAGTGTATGTATCCACTGCGCACAGATCATAGACATCAGAAGTATAGACCGCGGATGCCGTGTTGAGAAAATGGGCTTCGTTAAAAAAGAGATAGAGAAATAAATAACGCGTCTCTCTTTCCTTTTCTATGGGCGGAGCGTAGTATCTGTTAGAAAGAGACAGTGATACCACGTTAGATATGTCTATCTCTTTTTTAACGAGGACCATGCTCTTCATTTGACACCCGCGGTCTATATTTTTCATGTCTATGGCAGGGATGAACGTCATGAAGAATGACATTTAAAATTTGCAGTTAAAGATCAAACGATAACAGAACAGAGAAGTCTCACGGATTCGCGGTGTGACAGTTCCCATTACATGGAGTATTGAACGAGGGACGAAATACATTATGAACATGGACAACGTGGACCAGCATTTGCTTCACCAGTTTAGTTGTCTAGGCACCACCGACAGAGATGATCTGGTGAAGCAGCTGCAGAAGCTGCTGGCTGGCAGCCAGCTCAACGAAACTACTGCTGAGTTCTTTTTGGATATGAATAATTGGTGAGATACTCTCCCACTTGTAATCGTTCTATGTTGGTCAAGTTTAGTCCACCGACCTAACCCTACTGTCGCCATGTTTACTTGTTGTATTACCTTATCCATCCTTGCTTATTTATGCATTTATATCACTGACAACTCACACTCGCATAACATTTGCAATTTCTTCAGTTATTGTTCATGTATTACATAAATTGTTGTTCAATGGAGTAACTGCTACATTAGAATATCAACTTATTCTTTAAAACTGTAATTATGAAAGACAAATATGGTGACTATTGTATAGACATTTGTTGATGAAACATAAACAAATACGTAAATGTATATGTACGTGCAAATAATCTACATAAAATTTTAGGAATCTCCAAGCGGCAATTTGTAGCTACTTTGACTTTGAGTCTCCAGTTCAACATAAATTTCCTTGTATGATGCTGATAAGCGATAGCACTATTGGCGAAGGAGAATCAATACCACCACTTACTAATTTTCGAAAATCATGGCATATACAAAACAGTGGTAGAGAAGCATGGCCTGATGGAGTTTGCTTACAGTATATAGGAGGAGTGCAAATGGGTGAATGTACAAAAATACCAGTCCCATCTCTAGGCCCAGGAGAAATAACAGAGGTGAGCGTGGATCTTCAAAGTCCTCCACATTGTGGTACATTTCAAAGTAAATGGAGGATGATGGTAAAATCTACAGAAATCTTGTTTGGAGGTAAAATCATTTACCTTCTTGTTGTTAGTCATTTGTGATATTATCTTTTAGTAATAATCTCTTTTTTCAAATTTAGATATTATTTGGATAACTATTACAGTAAGTGAAAGTGGCACTCTGGCCATTACTCAACAACTGCATCAATTAAGTACTTCATCGTCTAATGATACAAGGATGTGCTAGCCCCTAATATCCAGAGAATTTTCTTAATTTTCTTCTCACATTTTTTAAACGCTTCCGATTATTTTTTAAATCAACCAAATTAAATATGACATGTTCGTTTAAAATATCACTTTAAAGATACTAGAAACGTTTTTATTTCCTTCTACAATCACGCGAGAAAGTAATATTTTCAATGGATAATTATATATATGATTTAAGATAGTACTGGACCTAGACACTGTATAAAAGTAAAATTTTGTTAAATTGTGAAAGTTGCTTACACAAGGCCTTTTACCGTCCATGCTTGTCAGTTACATCCTTTTGAAAAATCTTCTTTTACTTGATTGTTTCTGTGATGCAAAGTGTGGCGAAATGATTATGGTTTATACTTGTTAGAGCTGTAACAGACATGTATGGACCACTTTTGAAAATAATACTGATAGAAATTGATATAAATATAAAAAACTAGAAAAAATATATATATACAAAAATATATATATATTTTTTTGCGTGTATATGTATGTATAATTATTAAGATACGAGTTTATTAAAGATATGAACGAAAACTTTTTATTAGAAAATAAAGTATAGATATGGTTGAAATATAATAATGCTATATGAATATATATTCATTTACCAATTTAATATCAATCGAACATGTATTTTCTTAATGACCGAATCTTACTTCTAGATAAAAACGTGTACATAAGCTTGTGTCAGTACTCTGTGTTCAATTTTGTTTTTAAACAGCCATTGGCATAGATAACTTTGTGTGTGGGTTGTATCCGATAAGTTCGATATCATCTGCTGTAAAATCTTCTATGTTTTCAACGTTCCTAACGATTTTTAAATATGGGAATGGTTTTGGCACACGTTTTATTTGTTCCTCGAGTGCGGATATGTGATTGAGGTATACGTGACAGTCACCCATTGTATGTACAAATTCACCTGGCTAAAAATAAACAAAGAGATACAAGTTTCCGTTAAAAAATTTTGCCAATTTTCCTTTCTTGTAAATTTACCTTTAAATTTGAAATGTGTGCCAGCATGTAAGTTAACAAAGAATAAGATGCGATATTAAATGGTACGCCAAGACCCATGTCAGCGCTTCTTTGATAAAGTTGGCATGATAACTCTCCATTGTTTACATAAAATTGTACAAGACAGTGACAGGGAGGTAGAGCCATTTTTGAAATGTCGCCTGGGTTCCATGCTGACATTACAATTCGCCTATCATTGGGAGAATGTTGTATCTTATCTATGATCTGTTTTAACTGATCTATCCCTGTATAAACAAACCTTTCAGTGTACTTGTAGATAATTAAATTTGTACAATTAAACATAGGAATATTCGATTATTGTCTCACCTTGTCCACTATAATCTGTATCCATATTTTGGTACCTTGCACCATAGTGTCTCCATTGAAATCCATAAACAGGTCCTAAATCTCCTTCTTTCCTATCTGTGAAGCCACAAGAGTCTAGGAACTCGCGTGAACTGTTTGCATCCCATATGTGGACATCCTTTTGACTTAATTCTTTGGCATTTGTCGATCCTCTAATAAACCATAACAACTCCTCCACTACACCCCTCCAAAATACTCGCTTTGTAGTTAGCAATGGGAATACATCTATGGTAATGATATCTTGTTATTGTAATTAAATATATAAGATATTAAACTTCTATTAAAGTATGAAAAACACTTACTGTCTCGTAAATTAAATCGCATCTGTGTCCCAAAAATGGACAATGTGCCTACACCTGTACGATCATCTTTCCTCGTCCCTTCTTTTATAATTTTCTTTATTAAATTTAAATATTGATATTCTTCGTGTTCTTCCCCGTTCTGAGTACATTTTTGGATTTCATTCGTTTCATTCGTTATTCTATATTTATTCATAATTCAAGAAAATAAGAGATTTATAATACTATAATAACTAATGTTAATGATTTCACCGTATAACATGGAGTAAATTTTGACGGTATTATGTAGCTATAGTAACAAAAATTTTTAATTTAAAAGCTTTTTAAATACGTTAAAATTTGTTAAGAATGAATTTTATTAAAAGCAAAAAATTATTAATATTAATTAAAATTATAATATATTTCTTATTTTCATCAATAATTTACGAGAACTTTATATAGACCTGATAGGCGGGAAAATTAATTATATACTTGTACGATTGTTACATCGATGAATGAATTTAATTTGTAAATTTGTACATTTAACATAAGTTTAGAATGATAATAAAATGTATTATGCTAGCATGTTTTAATTTTTCATCATTACTAAATACTATTACGATATTAATATTTATTATAAAAACTAATTCTAATTACATGTGAAATTATTATATCGATAAATATAAAAGAACTTAATATAAATTTAGAATAATTATAAAATATTGTATATCATACTAAGATGTTTTAACTTCTCGTTATTATTAGATATTATTATGTCATTAATATTCATTACAAAATATTTATACTTTTAATACATCTTACACAATTTCTCATACTATGTTGTATATATATAGAGAACATGTTTATTCTGACAAGAATTCTATTATATGATAAATTGTTATCACAACTGATAGAAAACAAAATTAAAAACAAATGTTCTTTGTTTGCCCGATCTATCGGAAGAGACCAATGATTTTTGTTCTGTACTATATATAGTGCATAAAATATAGTATATTAATATTGGAAGGTTAATTATTATTGATCACAAAGATCATATTTTATTAGATTGTTTAACAGATCAAAATGGTGTTGGGCAATGTAAATTCTTCCGTGTTGAAAATCATCGAACCATATAGAAAATGGGTTATAGAAAATCCACAATTGTTATCTGAGATTGAAAATACGGTCCATTGCTTACCTTACTTCACGGCTGGTTAGAAAAATTCGTTATTTTTATTCTTCAAATACGATGACTTTTCTCCTCGATTTTTATTCAGTAAACATTTTTTTTAGGTCATTTTAATAATTCCGCCTTTTGGTCGGAATTATTATACTCAGCTTCGAATTTGATAGTATTTTTCAATGATTTGTTAATGTGCAGCGGAAAATGCGTTCATTTACAGTTTCCTCAGTTCGAATCAAAAATTAAAATTTGGTTGACTGTGGTAGAATATACGGAGGCTCTTTTTGAGATCACTGCAAAAAAGTTATGTGGTCAAACTGGAAGATGGTTCATGATCACTATGGTCCAAATATTTAAGTAAGTAGCATAATATTTCTGAAGTTTAGATTACACGTTCCTCTCAATTATTAATATTTATAAATGAATCCTTCATAGGACTGTGTTAAGACTTCTACTGATTCATCTGTATAAGGAACGTATAATAAAAAGCCCTCCAATACAGCCACTAAACAGAGAAAAGCTAAGCAACTCACATGATGAAAAATTATACGAAGGATTCAGATTGAAACGGTCTGGCACTATTGTTAGGAGTATAAGAAATATCAAGCATTCACACATGCGTACTTGGGAACCATTGTCTTCTAATATTGACAATAATGATAACTTAAATAGATCTTCAGTATCAGAAAAAGATTTAATATTAGCTGAGGTAGAAATGTATTCAAATTCAACTAAGTATAATAGCTCCAGAAAATACTTATTCATTAATATTTCTTATTTCATTTTTAGACTCTTTATATTTTGAAACCACTTTTTCATTTGGCATGTATATCTTTTACTGGAGAAAAACGTTGGCCACCATGGTTGTTATCATTTGCTATTGATTTACTCAGGTAAAAGATAAAATTTAGTACCAAACTTATCAAATAACTACATAAAAAGGGTTGAATTATATAATGATATAAAAACTCAATGTTATTTTACAGTTTAAATATAGCTAGTAAAAGGACAAAAAATATATCATTTAGCAAAGAAGAAGAGAAAGAATTCTTCAGGCGAAGACTTGCTCTGCTCCTTTACATATTAAAGTCTCCATTTTATGATAAGTATAGCTGCATTAGAATATATGCGACTCTAACTGCACTTTCCAATAGAGTACCTTTAGCAAAATTTTTAACAGAGCCAATAAAAAAGTACTTGCCACATTGGCAAAATACATATTTTTACATGTGGTCAAGTTAGTTTATGGAGTTATTAAATGTTTAAGAGAGTTATTGATACACCTTATTTTTGGGGGAATAGGGATTATAAAAGGAATAAGGATAATTTTAAATTTAAAAAAAGAATATTTTTAGCATAAATTTGAAATGACTGATTTTTGTCATAAATTATATAACTGTTGACAAATTTTTATTTATTATAGGTAAGGATAAATTAGCTCTACAATTTACTGAAGCACTTGACAATTCATAGATATATTATTAATATATTTTACATTTGATAGAAAAATTAGAAATATTGTTTTAACTCTATAGCAAAATTGAAAGCCACCATTCCATTTTTGCAAATGCTGTGTTTTAATCAAAATTAGATTGAATACTTTTATAGTATTTGTAGATACATTCTGTTTAAATATGCGCGAGTACAATATTTTTGTAATTCGTTTCCAAACACACAAATAAAAATATATAAATGTACACGTTTATTATTTTTTATAAATAGTAAGATCTAAATACAGATTTCTTAACGAATACGGGATCTCCAATATGTAAATATAGAAAATTGAAATTTTTTATGTTATAGAACGAAACATATGTAGAACGAAACATATAGCTGTATATATAAGATGAAAACAAATGTAAACAGGATGAATGAATATATAAACGATTAAAAGAGATATTTCTTTAAAAAATATATTTCCCTGCCCAATATATTTTATGGATTCCCTTATATTAAAATCACTAAATGTTAATATACCATAAAATGCATGGTAGTAATTTGCAAATATATTACACATTCAAATACAATATAGCAAGAAAATACAAATATGGCCTTTGGAGTTAAATGACGAGTTGCATAAAAAGTTACTTATTCACACATTTGGAGTAATGAATTTATAGTTACATCTTTCTTTCCATTATTTGCATCATAAACTGATTTAATTACCTCTTTATCCACATTCGGGAACATCTCTGAAATCTATAAGTTATTACATTATTACAAAAGTTGTTTTATTGCGGAAAAAAGTGAAGCTATTATCTTCTTACATTACCTGTTTTAATATAACTTCAGCATCTGGCATAGAACTGGGAATAATAGGCGGCACTGCAGCTGTAGGAGGTGCTGTGTAGACATTTACTGGTGCATACTGTGTCATGCCAAGCATTGTTGAAGAAGGAACCATCATAATTGGAGGTGCACTCATGTATGGATGACACTTAGTCTATCAAAATGGATAAATTATTAAATACAGGTATTAACTTATTGGTAGTAGATTAAATATATTTTCTGTTATATTACTAATAACTTTTACCGTATAACTAAAAACTAAATTTATCATTCCTTCTTGATTGTCTCCTTGCTTTCCACTAAGCATGTACCAATCTTCGTGCATCTCCCCTTTCTGGAGGACCTTTGATGGAATATCTATGTGACCCCATGCAATTAATTCATCCATTACAAACGAACATTCATCATAAACTTCTACATATATTTGTGAGACTCCTGGTGGCAAGTAACTGAATAATAAAAAGATAAAAGAAAGTAATGGATGGAATAAGTATATAAATTTGATTTATAATAAATTTATTATACAAATTACATACCATTGAATAACTTTGTTCCAGTGTGGATTTTTTGCTCCGTTTGAACATGTGTGTGTTTCATATACAGCATGGCCTACTCTTAATCTCACATAAGGATCCATTCTTGTCATCCCATAGTTTTTTACAAGCTTAGCCTATAGGAAGTATCTTTTTGAAATTATGATTAAAACATTATTACAAAACATACACTACTACTTTTTAAATCTGAATTAACTCCTACATGTCTACTAAAATCATAGAATTACCTGAACAATTGTAATACTAAGTCTACCGACATGGGGTTCATGCATTGTTGGCATGTTCTGCATTTGCAGCTGGTGAAGAGCAAGTGCAGCCTGCTGATCTGCAGCTTCTTGCTGTTGTTGAGCATTGCGCTCTTCCAATCTAAGAAATCCTTGCGGAAGTGGACCTAGAAAAGCCTGGAACATTATTATTATTATTATTTCAAATCAATATTTATTTATTCATATATATTGTAAATTTTGCTGGAGGTGTGACAAATTCCACTGAATAATTACATCTCATTAATTGGCAACGTTATGTTAATGCAACATTTTATTTGCAGTTTCTTTTCAATCAATTTGCATTACTAATTCTATCATTTAATATAGAATTCCAAGAATTTTTTAAATGTATAATAGTATAATAAACTAATATTGTTTAACAAATCGGCGAATGAGTCATCAAAAAATGAATATTTATGAACTTAACTGTTAATTAATAATAATTAACGAAATGAATCTTTAATTTTAAAATACTATACGATTTGCATTTTAATTTAATTGAATATTAAAAATGAATTGACGTGATGGTATCAGTACTTGATTTCAAAAAGAATTGCAACGTTTGTTGTAAAAGTTACATTATTTACCCGTCTTTTCCACTCTTCGTACAAATCTGATCGCCTTTCGGTTTCCCTAACAGTTATCCGAAGATTTACTGAATTCATAACTTTTCCTTAATATTCTTAATATAATAGTATAATCGACTTCGATATAAGTGAAACCTGTCAAACTACACGTATTTTTTTTTGCATCAGAATAATCATAACACACATCTGTCACGCTGATGTCACGACATCTTAAGAGAATCTTTCAAACACTCGAATTACGTGTACATTTCAAACGCGAATGATATTACAGAAATTCCAATTCCAAACGAAAATCTAGAAGATACGTGAGCTAATAATACAAATGATTCTTATAAAAATATATTTTCCAGCACTAATTAAAAATCTTGAAATAAAATTAAAATATTGTTGTAAGATATAAATCAATTATAAGTAAATATGTATATGTAATGCAATTAATATTAGATTACAATATATAGTAAAATAATAGACTGCATATTTTTATGTACTTATAGAGAAAAAATATAAGAAAGAATATAAAATATCCAAAGTGTAGTGCTTCCTATAATACTTTGTAAATAAAATAATCTTCTACTGAGATTTTATTATTTTAATTATCGTTTTAAATATGTATATGAATTTGCATAAAAATCCGTAATTTAATAATGTGATTAAGTTTGTAAATGGAACTGAAGATTTGTTAAAACAGATACACGCGAATAAAGGGCAAAATTTCATGTTGCAAAATTTCAAAAATTTTTATTCGTCTTAATAATAATATTTGAATAAGTTGCATTTTTCGCGTTTGAAATAATTTTCTGTGGGTTTTTACGTCGCTTCTTTTTCAGTTAAGATTTTTTTGTTCAAGATAATAAATTATAATCGCTTGGTTTAGAGCACGGTCGTACGGCCGTGATTTGGAGCATTCTTGACAGGTTCACTGGCGTGACGTACGTTTCTCTGTTGCTAGGATCCTCCCGAAAAGTTCTCCTCTAAATAGGTTGTGTATCGGTGGTTTCCCCTAATTTCGGATTCTGTTGCGATTTTTTTCATCGTGTTCTAGTCATTTGAACGGTCCGTTTGTGGTGGTGGTGGTGGATCTTTCGTTCACGATTAATCCGAAGAGGTCGGGGAGGAAGCGCGACTAATTTCCTACCATATTTTCAACAGAGCTCGAATTTTTTACGAACCATGTCACATCAGACAGGGATCAAAGGTACTCATTATTACATTGTAATATTGATTCCACATAACAATCTCGTAGAAAGTTCTACAATATAGGCCATTAACCTCAAAACATCTTTACAACAATAATGACAAATTAATGGTTTGGTTATTTCAGCGAACGATGCCCTTAAGAAATTGTTTGCTAAATGTCGAGATGGAAAAATACGAGTCTTGAAAGTTTCCATTGAGAATGGTAAGTTTGCCTCTTGCCCTCAGTGAGTGTGAATTTAATACAAGTTTCATGAATAAAAGTGTATCTTTGTTTCATAGAGGAACTAACACCTGCTGCTTCTTCAAAACCAGTGAACAAGTGGCAAGATGATTATGATAAGATGATCAAACCGTTGATCATTGAGAATCAACCTGCATATATTCTTTATCGATTAGATACTAAGTCTTCTGACTCTGGTTATGACTGGTTATTTATCTCTTGGTCACCTGATACTGCACCAGTTAGGCAAAAGATGTTATATGCGTCGACAAAAGCAACTTTGAAACAAGAATTTGGAACTGCGTCTATAAAGGAAGAATTGCATGGTACGGTGCCAGAGGATATAACATTAGAAGGTTATCACAAATACAAAAGGAATAATGCTGCACCGGCACCATTAACCACTGCAGAAGAAGAATTAGCAGAACTTAAAAAAAGCACAGTTACTACAGATTATAGCGTAGAAACAAGGCATCAAACATTGAGTGGTGTTGCCTTCCCTGTTACGGACGAGGCAAAACAAGCGATCATGGAGCTTGGTAAAGGTATACATGAATATGTTCAATTAAAAATCGACTTAGAAGAGGAGAAGATACATTTAGTTATGGCTTGTGAAGTTTCACTGGATAAACTACCAACAAAAGTCCCATCTGATTCTGCTAGATATCATCTTTATAATTTTAAGCACACGCACGAAGGAGATTACATGGAATGTATAGGTATGTTCTAAAAATAAAAATGTTAGTCTTTCAATCAATAATGTACCTCTATGTTGCAGTTTTTATATATAGCATGCCAGGATACAGTTGCAGTATTAAGGAAAGGATGTTATATTCATCGTGTAAAGCTCCGCTATTAGAACTTATTCAATCACTTGGAGTGACTATAACGAAAAAAGTAAGTAAATAAATAAAAGTTCTTGATGTAAACCATATTTTCTAATTTATTTTGTTTCTATTGGTTTGTTTTTGCATGAATGTCTTAACAGGATCATTTAAAACTGGTAAATCATATTAGAATCTATACGCTTTTTGAAAGATAAAAATATTCAATTGTATGTTGTGCATTTTTTATACCAGTGAGAAATGTATTTCATATTTAATTAAAAAAAGATAGTTCTTATAGCGTGCATTGATATTAACGAATATTTTACCCTTTTAGTCGCATTGTGTAGTATTTCTTACTTTCAAATTTCATTTCTCTTCATGTGAATCTTAATGTTGAAATTAAATTATTTCTTTTTTTCTTTTTTTATTTTCGTAAAAATTTGATAAATCCTAGTTGGAAGTAAATAGTGGTGAGGAATTGGCAGACATGTTGGAAGATCCTCCAACTATAAAAGAAACAGCTGCAATAACTCCTGCAACTCCATCAACGCCCTATGCTCCTCCTCAATCTATATCCGAGAAAAAGTCAAAACAGAAGAGATCTTGTATCTTGAGTTAACCGAATCTACGTTCTTTGTCTGTCATTTTTAAATGTTTCTTAAATGTTATAAAATATTTCAGATGTTTTACACATTTAATATCTTCCTTCGTAAATTCTGAATTTGTGATAATACGATATTAATTGATCGAATATGTTATGTAGTGTAAGATGGTGTAATCGGTTTTGAATAACTTCGACATTAGCACAGTATAGTTATGCAGTTATTATGGAGTGATTTAAATGAGAAAATGTTTAATGCGCATCTTTACAGAGATAAATCTTTTATTAATTAGCAATATATTTATTGATATTTAGTAATAATTGGTCAAAGTGATATGTATATCTATGTAGCAATTCAGAGTAGACCAAACAATGTATTTTTCTAAATTTTAAAGAGCAAAATTGTCATGTTAAGATCTTTACAAAATATCTTTTTGATAACTATGAGAAACTCGCAATGCATAGAATTCCCATGAGATGTAGTTCTTGTTGATCCAGTACCATAATGTAATGGATAATTGTTTATTCGTGCAGAAAATACTGTACGAAAAAGAACAAGAAAAGCAGAAAGATCATGAAGTGAGAATTAGTTGCTTGACATTGAAAGTGAAGCCTTCTATTGGATTTTGCATTTTTTTAATTGCGTTCCAATGTCTAATAAAAAATCTTATGAAGATATTTTTTTCTCTATATAGTTCCTTTAATTTACATCTTTTATAGTTTATATAATTCTTATGCTACTTTTAATGTTTATTGTGTCAGATGTGAAAAATAAACCCAGTGAGTTAACTGTGTGAATTAGTTCCTAGTCCAATGAAAAGTGATATATTGTATTTTTAAGTATTCATTTTTCATATATTAGTAATTTTATTAAGTGAAACTCGAAGGCTTGACTTTCAAATTCATTCGAACACTCATATAGGAATTAGTGATAAATAGAGGTAGAGTGTTTCAAACAAATATCTGTGGTAAAACCTGCATACCTTATGTGATTATTAGAGAGTTAGGGAAAATTCCATGTGCTCCAGTTAGCTAATGCCACTCACCTAACTTCTCTATGAAATATAAATAAGAAGATAAATGGATAAGTGATAAACGTGCAAATTACCACATTAATTTGTGGATATATTTTCTTTGCACATGATTATCATTTTTGAACACAAGCTAGTGATAATACTATTTACTTTATATACATATTAAATTATATATGTATATATATATTTATATACATTATATTATATATGTATGTATGTGTGTGTGTATATATATATATATATATATATATTATCATATTCTATACTATTGTAAATTATACAAAACATTAGATTCCACAAATATATATATAAAGACTGAACTTGGTATGTCCCATTAGTTGTACAATCGGAAAAATTGTGCAGTGTTTGAATTTATATAGATAAAAATATTTGAACATTCATATACACGTATGTACGCACTTACCCATACACCCACACCCACACACATTCTATATACTTTACGGTTATTTTTTAACTTTTTATTACTTTCATTTTTAATAAAAGATGTAAGGTATAATAAGATATGTTTTAAATAAGAAAATTCATATATCATATTCTTATACGCTTCAATTTAATAATTTAAACTAATTAGAGAACAGCGCATAATGAATTGTGATAAGTTACTGTTATCTCTTCTAAAGTATTTTTACATTTCTTCTAAAACATTCCTAATACGAAATGTATAGCAAATGGGACTATAATCTAGTAGCCAGCAAACAAGATATTCGAGAGGCATTCTATTTTTTGTGATCTGTATTTTTTTAACTCTCGTAGCTTTTTATAAACTTTTTAAAAATTTTCGTCCAAGAAATAAATAAAAAACTTATTGAAAGAGTTTGGCCTAATTTAACAAGTTTTATAATAATAAAAAAGTGTGTCAGATTCTTGGCATTTATTCAAATCCATTGAAAAATTTTTGTTACTTTTCATTTGCTACCAAGTATATATTATTATACATACATTTACATTGATATGAAAGTTAAGCTCAAAGTATGAGATTTTTTACAAGAATTGGAAGTTCTTGAATATAATATACTCATAATTTATTAGTATTTCATTCCTTTATAGTTGTGTAAAAGCTTTTTCAGCTTAAATTCCTTATCGATGTTTTCCTATTTTTACATGTTGACGAACAAATAGAATTTGGCACACATTTCTATGTCTAGTTGCAAAAAAAAGGAAAGTTTTTCGCGAAGTGCTCAAAAACTTGTTAATGAATAATGTGTTCTATATTTAAACATAACGCACACTGTAGCCTGGGAATATTTCAATTTATAATATACTGTACCAGGCCTATTCTGTAAGTTTTTAGTATAATTCCGTTTCCAACCTGTTAGTACATAATTGTAGGTTCATTATGATCAAACAAATTGTGTATCTTGCCAATACTAAACACGCTAGAAATAATAAAGCATTATGCAATTTAATCTCACACTTTGTTGTGTTTTAATTTGCCAATAAGGTAACGTGTAACACTTCTTTATTTATCATGATTTATCTGCACAGAATTTAATAGGTTTCTAAGGAGCGAACGTGAATCAGTCGTTGGATGGGTATGTAATTATGATTAAGATTTTAAGATATGTTTAAGACATTCAGCTTACAGAATAGGCCTATCAAGTTAGAGTTTTATTTTTCATTTTTCATGTATTTTTTTCTCACAAAGTAAATGATGTTTCTAGTTTGTAATGCAATGTAATAATTCTCTTTAAAATATGTTGATTATATAGCTTGAAATAGATGATGGAAGAGAACTAACTGAAGAATTTTTACAAGAGGAATTACATCCAAAAATCAGTTTACATCAGCCAAAATTTGCGAAACCTAAGGGTCCACCAGGCAGAGGGGCAAAACGCTTAACCAAGGTTCAAGATTTAGGAACTTCTGAACAAGAGATTTAAAAAAATGTTTTTCAAATTTGTTGAGTTGAACTAAGAAGATATATAATATGCTCATCACATATACAGATAAATATATATTGTGTTCTCTTGTGTTAAAAGATGAAAGTTTTTTGTTTTATCTAGCTTTTTTCCTTATTAAGGAGGATTATTTGTTTTATAATTTAAGAACCATTTATATGCAGATACTTCAAATCTTAAAAAGAAGTTTCAAATATTAGGCCTATTCTGTAACTACGATTTTAAACTTGTATTTATACTACATTCATTTATAATTTAATGCACAGAGTATTATTAGGATGTAAATAAGGATTGTTCTTAATGACAATTGATTATATTACAGAATGATATTTTTATTTATCATTCATCTTAAATATTATGGATAAGACCAGAATGATTTGAATATGTTCTATAGATGTTTTGTATTTATCAAATATAAATATTATTACATAATATTTCATGTAATAATTACATAAATTAATAGATATATGTTAATAAGATATATACATTCGTTATTAAATTTTTATCTTTTAAATTCTTACTCTTTCTTCTCCTTATTAAGTGCTTCATTCGCTTCTTGATTCTTAATATACATCATTTGCAGTTCTGATAATTCGTTTGTTTTCATGGACTTTGCATATTCTTTTATTTTACTAAAAAATGGAAATTTATCTTTGGTATTCAAATTTGGAATGGAAAATTTTTAAGTTCAATTAATATAGCAAACATACTCTCGTCTTATGTTCATTAATTTGCTTCCAGCTTCATAAGCGTTCTCCATTTCAGATCCAGTTATCCATAAAAAGAATTTTGTGACAGAGCCATAAAAGGTACCCAATATTGTACCTACTATAGTTCCTGCAGTTAATCCCTTTATACCCATATTCATTTTGAATATGAAACCAGTTATAGCACCACTAAACGTGGAATTTAGTATATCAAATTTGTATCCTCTATATACATAGAAGAATGAAGACATGCTCCTGATAAAGAATATTAGATTAATTTATATTTGTACAATGTTATAATAGAAATTAGTTGCAAGACTTACGAGAATAAGAAACAAAACAGTCCAGTTTTCATGGCAAATGGAAAACCTGCTTTAAACGTAACAATTTCAATTCTTCTTTGCAGATTCGATTGATATACAAACTTGTTTTCATATAATACAGCTTGATTCTCATGTTTGAATTTTTGTGGCACCTCTTTTAATTTATATAATGCCCCCAAGACAAATCCTGTTACACTCCCTGCACATGTTGCATTCAAGACTGATTGTACCTCTTTGGTTGGATACCCTTTTCTGTGCAAAGTAAATATTGTAATAATGTGTTAAATAAATGGATGAATATAAATTAAATGATTATTCTTACTCGTCATAAAAGTAACATCTGTATTTGCCTAAAAATCCTTTTACTTTGGATGTATCATTGGAAGTGTTGTCGGACGAAGAAGCAAATGGGAAAAACGCAGTGCAGATTAATCTTCTATCTATTACTGTACGTAGCATGTTTCTTCTATATTTATCAGGTCATGTATTATTTAACATACATTCAATAAGCACTGATAACACGAAATACTATAAACATATATTCATAGTTTATTGGCAGCAAAATTAATATTATTACAAACTAGATTCCAAATTCAATTATTTTATTATACAATCATTACTTAATAACGAAAGTGAGGTTAAGGATTCAATTTATTAACACTTAGCCAACCTCGCGCATCAGAGCGAGCTACACGCTTCTCACTGTACTAGACAACCCAACCTATAAGCTGTGCACCGTACATTTTTTCAAGTAACGAGGACTAATATTCACTACTTGAAAAACAAAGAACTCTAAAAATTATTTAAGTGGTCAATTATATTTTGAAATAATGATTTTGTTTAACGATTTCACATATCGTTTATACAAAACATCAAATTAAAAGTATATATTAAAAGTACAAAAAAATATAGGTAAAATTAAAAACATTAAAGATGACTAAAAATAAATAACACAACTTGAATGTGAAATTAAAAATTCGATATTGTTGATAATTCGGTATTGTTCGATTATAACTTTATTTAGTCATAACTGGTAGTATAACTTTTTAATTAATTTTAACACCATCAAATTGGTGTATTTTATTATATACCGTACTTCATAAAAGCAGAAAAAGTATCGCAATTAATTGGGAACAATTCCAGGTAAACAATAACTGATAATAACAATAAAAAAAGAAGAAAACGCCTTGCTAAAGGCAAAAAGGGGGATCTCCCCGTTTGGTTGACTAAGATCGATTATATAAATATCGAGAATTGTACGAATATAAAAATGGCAATATATGTATGACTCGAGAATCGAAATTATAAGAATCGATATATTAGTATTGCGTTTGAATTTCTCAATGTGAATTACGTGTACTTCGTTAACGTAATGTTTCCGTGTTTTATTCAGATTTATCCCGTGTTTATTCGTTTTCGTTACTTTCTACATATCCTGAAAGCCATTAGGCATCAAAGTTATATATTTTCAACTGCCATATTCACAAATTATGTCGATCTTTAATAGACTTCGCTCCTCTTCCGTAAGTACTACATGAGAAACAAAAAAACACAATTTCTATCGTAATTTCTAAAAAAAT